TTTGTGATGGAAGTATTTAGAAGACTGGCCAGTTTAGCCAGTTTAAAACTGTAGGATTAAATGTTACTAACATTCATTAATAACACACCTCTTGCTCATGCTTGCACTTTTACTTTATTCCATGCCTTAACAAGTGATAAAGGCTTATAGTGGCTGAGGTGTCAATAAGGCAGTATGTTTTTGTGTCAGTAGGTTTCTGAACTGCAACTGTACCTTGTTAATTATGAATGCTGTTGAACATCATATCAAAGTAGAGAGATACTGTGGAACACTGAAAGGGTTTTTTTTATTGCTTAGGTGTGCAGCTGTGTTTTCTTTGGTCACAAAGAATGTAGAGTTTACTTAATTTGTGGTTTTCTTGTGGTTTGTTGTTTTTTAAACCTACATGGACATGGTGGGAAAGTTATTCTAAATAAACAGACCAGTGGGCCTGAGGACTGACACATGGAATGAGAAAACTGATTATTACTCTGTATGGGAGAATAGTTGATCAACACTACATCTTATGGATACTAGTGAAATTCAGGCTGCAAAGACGCAATGTTTCTCAACAATTATTTCATATTCCATGAATTAGTTAGAACTTTTACACAGTCATCAGTTCTGTATGCTGCATTTACTATGGGGGCATAACAGGCCTCCATTTACGTATCTCCAAAGATGTTTTGCCCTCTCAATCTGTTTTCTATGGTATGTGTGCAGACCAGAGTATCTGTGAGGTCACACAGCTGCTTCGTGGAGTACATCAACTAGGAGAATATCAAAAATCAGATTAGTCCTGTCCCAAATCTGATAACAGAAGGATATAAGGGCTATCCTTTAATAAACTGCACAGGCAAGGGCTTACATTGGTCTATCATCCATCCAGACCAGAATACTGTTTCTGTAGAATTTTTCTAGAGTAGAGAAAGCCTATGGAATGCTAACTGTTTTCACTCTTGTTACTAATTAGTTTCACACTGTGATTTCCAATAAGTATTAAAGATCATAGGTTTGGAGCTGAGATCATTGACCTTTAATTTATAGTGGAAAGTCTTACTGAGACACCTAAATCTGGCAAAGAACACAAAAAGGTCAAGTTCCTATCTGTGCAGAAGGAAGGTTCCAGGCAGAATAGTTGAAGCCATAGCATAGTAGTATATCTCAAAGTCTTTGGTCTCTGTGACAGCCAGGTGGTGGAGGTAGAAGTAATTTCCCCAACCTAGCAGATTCAATGGCAGCATGGAGAAGTGAAATCAGCTGCCATCAATAATCATTAATTTCTCAGTTCCCAAGGGATATAGTTGAAGTGCATGACCTGCTTAGAAAGAATTTCGCTGGAGTTGAGTAAGATTTTCAGAAGTAAAACTGTAGGTAAGTATGTAATAAAGCTTTCTCATTGCCGGTGTGTCTGCAAAGCTTACACAGATTAAGGTGATACTGAGGACCGTTGCTGAACTTTGAATCCATCTAGTGAGGGCAATCAACTTCTCTGGGTTTGAGAGACTCGCTGTAACTTACCATAGTTCAGGCATGCTGTAGTCCGACTCTGGGGAGCTCTGTTTTCCCTGTGGATGGGTGAAAATTGTTTCACGTAGACTATAATTTGTAGGATGGCTTGGGCCAATCTGGCCACTTACTATCACCAAAAGTGGAGGTTGTGCTCTTTGGACCACCTCTGATGTTCATCACACCCCCCTGTGAGCCAATTTAGCTACCTCATGTAGCAGGAAACTGACCCAGCAGAAAAATCTGGGTGGTCTTCTGTTGGACTAATAGGTTAAATCTGATCATAAAGGGCCTTGGTAAGCACTGGGCTGACATACTGGAGGGGATGGGATGCTGGTCAGCAGTGGATTCAAAGGGAGAAGGAAGGGCGGGAGACAGGGAAAGGGGTGTGGGGGGGTGCTGTTGCAGTGATAGCAGGACAGGCTGAGGTGCGCAGGTGAAATAAGTATTGCATGAAGCTGTTACTTTCTCACACTGAAAAGCTTTGCTGCACTTTGAGCATGCTGTAGTACAGCCGTAGTTTAACTGAGAATAAAACATCTGTGAAGAAATAAAGTTTTGGAGGGATGTGAAATTAGGTCACCTGTAGCAAATAAGCTGAATGAGGGAAGAAACGAATGGATGGAAAAAATTGTTTTGCTATTTGTGAAATGAAAGGGGTGACCTTATCGCAGTCTACAACTTCCTCAAGGGGGGCAGCGGAGAGGGAGGTGCTGATCTCCTCTCTCTGGTGACCAGCGGTAGGACACAAGGAGATGGAATGAAGCTGCATCAGGGGCAGTACAGATTGGACATTAGAAAAAGGCTCTTCACTGCGAGGGTGGTTGGTCACTGGAACAGGCTCCTCAGGGAAGCGGTCACAGCACCAAGTCTGTCGGAGTTCAAGGAGTGTCTGGATGACGCTCTTAGTCATATGGTTTAGCTTTAGGTAGTCCTGCGAGGAGCAGGGAGTGGGACTCAATGATCATTATGGGTCCCTTCCAGCTTGAGATATTCAATGATTCTATGAAAGGTTTTGTTTCCAGATTTATTAACTGTACAGATTGACATTAGAAAAAGGCTCTTCACTGCGAGGGTGGTTGGTCACTGGAACAGGCTCCTCAGGGAAGCGGTCACAGCACCAAGTCTGTCGGAGTTCAAGGAGTGTCTGGATGACGCTCTTAGTCATATGGTTTAGCTTTAGGTAGTCCTGCGAGGAGCAGGGAGTGGGACTCAATGATCATTATGGGTCCCTTCCAGCTTGAGATATTCAATGATTCTATGAAAGGTTTTGTTTCCAGATTTATTAACTGAGTCACCAGAAACTTCTTTTTTTGAAATTTTTTATCTGACTTAAATGTTTAAAAAGAAAATTTAAAAAGCTTTTAGAAAATGTGTACTATAAGCCAGTGTGTATCAAAGCATTTTTGTTTCGTAAGAAATGAAGTTTGCAGATTGACTGAAAATAATTTTCCTTTCCTCAAAAGAAAAGGAAAAATGTTGTTTTGTCTGTCATACAGCCCTTAGTTAGGTGGTGTGACTATGGGCATTTCATACTGGTTTCTGCTTTTTGTGTTGTAGATCAGTGGTCTCCAAACTTTTTTGACTGTGCACCCCATCAGTAAAATGTTCTGAACATACACACCCAATTTATGTATATTTATAAATTATATACATGTGCTACCGTACTCAAGTATTATGTACATTATAAAACATGCACAAAAATAGAAATTTAAAAAAGGATGAGATAAGGATGAAGTAAACAGTATTTTAATTTTTTAATTTTGTTAATGGTGCAAAAATATTTTCTTCCTGCACCGCAGTGGATTGCCTTGCGCACACCCCACTTTGGAGACTGCTGATGCAGATAATCCATTTAAAGATTCTCAAAATGCACAGGAATGTGGAAGCTAGTGGCACCTTACTACTGCAGAGTTTTCTGTTCTGACAGGTTTGATGCTTCTGTTGAATTACTGGCCAAGCAATCGCATTCAGATATTTGCTGAAGACAATGTTGAAAAGAGGAAAAAAATCTCCAAATGTGAGAAAACATGGATGAGTGGAAGGGTGAGAGGGAGTTAGGACTAAGTGTCAGAAACCTGACTCTGTGATGCAGAAGAAACTGCCAATGAAACAGTTATGAAACAAGGAAACGGACTTGAAACAGGGCTGTATAGCTGGAGAGGAAGCTGTGGTATCTTGTAATAATTGAGTCAGATCCTGTTGGTTGCCAAGGAGTAGTACACTGACTGACTTCATTTGTCTTCAGTATTATGCATGGCCTATGTGACGAGCTGCTTTGCAAGGGTGACTTACTTGGCTAAACTGTGCTCCTATTTCATGCTTAAAGGTTTAGCATCTGAAATAGTTATGTTGTTACGCCATGTCAAGACATCAGCTGTAGCTGTGCTTTCTTTGGTGCTGTTTGCGAGCTGTGTGGGGACAGAACCTTTTGCATGTTCTGTGGGGAGTGAAACCTGATGCTTATCACCACAGCTATAAAATGAGAGGAGAACACTAACTTCATATTCAGGCCCTCTCACTGCATAGACACAAGCAAATAGCAGCCCCCCCTAGGCTGGCTTCTCGGTCACGTTCTTTAGTCTTGTCATCAAGCCGGCATAAGTCAGCTGTAGGTAAAGCAGTAAACCTGCTTGGATTTTAAGGATACAAATCATAAAAATACATCAGGCCTATACAGGGACCTTGTGAGAACCAGAGAAGGGACATCTTTCTTTTTCTCATTGTCTACAGAGATGAGTTCCATGTGTCACAATATGCTGCTCTCCTAGACTGTCTCCTGGCATCTTATTCTAGGTTGGAGTGATGCTGAGCTAGAGACTAGTGGAAGGGAGGGGTAATGCTATCAAAATAGGAGCAAAGACTGAATGACATGGTGCCTTGGCATATCCAGTTGGTTCCCCTTATGCTGTTGTTCTGTGTGCACCAAGACGGAAACACCGATGTACGTGGGCCTTGTGTATGCTTTATTGTATATGCTTAGAGGTTGATGCATGTTGCATGCAGTGAGTTAGGTTGGGCACGTAGTCTTGAACTTGCTGGATTCTAACTTCCTGCACTGTAACTTCCCTTTGCCTTCAGTTTCCTTGCTTGTCAAATCAGAGCTCTATTTGCAATCCTCAAAAGAGAAACCTCCAAAAGCACCTGGCATTACTGTGTGGAAGAAATAGCAGCAGCATCACACGCGTGTGTGGTGCACAGCTGATACTAAGATTATAGACCTGAACCTTTGCATAAAAGTGGTGTCTTAAGTGCCTAGTTATGTGATCCAAAGCCATGGATCAGAACAGCCTCATAGGTTACCAGCTGCTTAGCAGGTGGCTGGCAGTAAGTGATAAATGTTCTTAACCTGCTCCAGTTGCAGAGGAACATGTCTAACCATAAACAGATAATTTGGGTAAAACTGCTAGTGGCTATCGGCTACCACGGGTTGCGAAGCTGCTGTCATTGGATTGTTTTGGATCATGTGGCAATGTCTTAATTCATCTTCACACTTTATTAGTATTTAAAGCCTGCAGTATTCTTGTATAACTAGTTCAATTTCTAGAAGAGAAGACATAATAATTTACCTGTGTGCTTTTCTTTTTCTTTTGCCTCAAATGTTACATCATAGGCAAATAATTGCTTTGTGGACCAAACAACAATGGAAGAGAAGCAGTAGAATTCAACGGTGAAGGAGCTGCTATCTTTTCTCTTGGAGGTTTTCCACCAGCACTGAAGTCATCCATGAAGAAGTGCTTTGAAGACTAGCTGAGCTGTTTCCAGTGCCTATCTTTCTTTCCTCAGAAGGGACAGCCTCCTTTTCTAGTGTCACTGCATGAAGATAAATAGGCTGAATCATGGACAAAATCTTTTGTATTGTTTTGTATCCAATTTTAACAAACAGTGCTCTACTAACACAAAATGTAAGAGCTAAGGCCTTTTTTTATAATTGGTATTTAGAGATTAACAGTCATACCCATTTGCATAAATGTGGATAAATCCAAAGCTAATCAGCTTTCTATGCAATTTTGGATCAGTACATTTTTACAATCGGAAGAAAGACAGTTCATCCTTCAGCTGTTCCAGATGGATGAAAGTTTTTGCATTTGCTAGTCTCAGTTCTCCAGCAGGAACTCAATACTCCAGACAAACACTCTCCAAAATAGCTATCTCCTGGAGCTGGCAGAAGACTCGCAAACTGATCATCTCCTGATGGTGGTTGACTTTGTGATAAAGCTACAATTCAGTTTGTTGTTGCGTTGGAACAAAGCTGCTGCTATTAGCAGTGGTTTGGGGTTTTTTTTCCTTGAACTTTTGATATTTTTTGCACTTTTAGGTTTCTTTTTTGTCTTAGCTTCTGCTTCATGTTATTCTAAGAGAATGTCAACCTACTCATTTCTAAAGAATAACAGTATGTTTTTAAGTTGCTTGTGACTGGAAAGAAAACTTGAAAACTGAGGTCATGTATACACTGAAGCTCAAAAAGAATCAAAGAGAAAAGAATACCATGTATTAATGTTTTCAAAACATCAAGCTATGGAGTGTTTCATGACTTCCGCATCCTGGTTGTTAATGAAAGCTGAACGCCATTTCAGTTGATTTTGAACTTGGTATGTGTAAAGAATCATGAAGGTTTTACAAGGAAAACCAGTGATCAGAAACTTCCCCCTTCATCTTCCCTCTTGTTTCAACTTATGCCCGTTACTCTCTTGTTCTCCCACCAGGCACTACTATGAAGAATGTGTCCCCATCTTCTCAATGATCAGCTTGTAGGTAGGGGAAGGCTGCTGTTAGGTACCCTCCCAAAGCCTGCTCTTCTCCAGGCTTGAACAAGCACAGTGCCTTCAGCTTCTCCTCACGGTACAAGTGCTCTGACCATCTTGGTAGCCCTCCACTGAACTTGCTCCAATTTTATTGATGTCTGCCTTCTTGAAGGGGTCCAAAACTGGATGCAGTATTCTGAATGCAGTCTAATGCGTGTTGAGTAGAGGGGGACAATCATTACCCTCAATCTACTGGCTAAGCTCTTGTTAATACAGCCCAGGATGCTGTTGGCCACCTTTGCTGCCAGGGGACACTGCTGGCTGGCTCATGTTCGGCTTGCTGCTTACCGAGATCCCCCACTTCTTTTCAGCCGAACTGCTCCCCTGCCAGCCAGACCCTAGCTTGTATCATTGCAAGTGGTTCCTCCTTCCCAGAGCTTTACATTTGTCCTTTTTTAATTTTAACCTGTCTAGGTCTCTCTGACAGCCCAGCCCTTTAGCGTGTTGACTGATTCTCCCCAATTTGGTGTCATCTGCAAACTTGACAAGACTGCACTTTATCCCCTCCTCCAGACCACTGAAGGAGATGTTAAATGGGACCAGTTCCAGCACAGACCCTTGTAGTACTCCACTTGTCTGAGCCACCCAAGTCGAGTATGACCTGTTAGCCACTACCATCTGAGCCCAATCATCCAAGCAGTTCTTTACTTATCTATAGAATCATAGCATGGTTTGGGTTGGAAGTGACCTTTAAAGATCACCTAGTCCAGCCCCCCTGCCATGGGCAGGGACATCTTTCACTAGATCAGGTTGCTCAAAGCCCTGTTCAACCTGGCCTTGAACACTCCCAGGGATGGGGCATCCACAGCTTCTCTGGGCAACCTGTTCCAGTGTCTCACCACCCTCATTGTAAAAAAAATTCTTCCTTATATCCACAGGCCTTGGTAAGAAGTCTGTCCCTATCTTTCTTATAAGCCCTCTTTATGTATTGAAAGGCCACAATAAGGTCTTCCTGAAGCTGCCTTTTCTCCAGGCTGAACAACCCCAACTCTCTCAGCCTTCCTTCATAGGAAAGATATTCCAGCCCTCTGATCATCATGGCTCTCCTCTGGACCTGCTCTAACAGGTCCATGTCTTCCTTGTGCTGGGGACAGTACTCCAGGTGGAGTCTCACAAGAGCGGAGTTGAGGGAGAGGATCACCTCCCTCGACCTGCTGGCCACGCTTCTTTTGATGCAGCCCAGGATACGGTTGGCTTTCTGGGCTGCAAGTGCACATTGCCACCTCCTATCTAATTTTTTGTCCTTGAGTATATCCAAGACCTTTTCCATGGTGCTACTCTCAAATAATTAATCCCCCACCCTGTATTGATATTGGGAATTGCCCTGACCCAGGTGCAGGACCTTGCACTTGGTCTTGTTGAACTTCATAAGGTGCACGTGGGCTCGTTTTTCAAGCCTGTCAAGGTCCCTCTGGATGGCATCCTTTCCCTGAAGTGTATTAGCTGCACCGCTGATCACACCAAGATGCGCTTGATGTTATCTGCAAACTTGCTGAGGGTGCACTCAATCCCACTATGTCATTGATGAAGATATTAAATAGTATTGGTCCCAGTGTGGACCCTTGAGGGACACCACTCATTACTGGTTTCCACTTGGACATTGAGCCATTGACTGTAATTCTTTGGGTGTGGCCATCCAGCCAATTCCTTGTCCATCTAGTTCACCCATTCAAGCCGTCATGTTCTAACCTGGATACAGAAATAATGTAGGAGATGGTGTCAAAGCCTTGCTAAAGACAAGGTATAAAAATACTACTTTCCTCTCATCCATAAATCTAGTTATTTCATCATTATAGAAGGCAGTTGGATTGGGTAGGCATGATTTGCCCTTAGTTAAATGTATGCTGACTGTTCCCAACCACTTTCTCCTTCACGAGCCCAGAAATGTGTCCCAAGAGGACCAGCTCCATGATTCTCCCGGGGTGAAAGTGAGGCTGACCAGCCTGTAGATCCGCACATTGACCTTTTGGTGCTTTTTAAAAATGAGTGCACCTTTTTCTAGTTGTCAGGGACTTCCCCAATCTCTATGACCTTTTAAAGGTGATAGCACTCACAGTGGCATCAGCAAGCTCTCACAGCACCCTTGAATACATCTGATCAATTCCCATGGACTGGTGTGGATCAAGTTTTCTCAAGTAATCCCTGACTTGCGGTAGTTTTTCTTGAGCTCTTTGACTAAGCACAGAGCCTGTGAGACGTTGTTAATAAAGACTGAGGCAGGGAACACATCAAGTAACTAAGTCTTCTCTGTCTGATATCCTTAAATCACCCCCACAATTCAGGAATGGGCCCGTATTTTCCTCCTTTATTCCTTTACAGTTAACGTAGCAGCAGAAGTTGCTCTTGTTGCCCTTGATGTCCTTTGCAAGTCTGAGCCTTGGCTTTCCTGACACCATCCCTACCCGCCCAGGCAGTGTTCCTAAATTGCTCCATTGTAGCCTGTCCCTGCCTCCACATCTAGTATAAGCAGTTTTTGCACTGGAGCCCTGTCAGGAGGTCCCTGCTTAGCCAGGCTGATCTTCTGGTTTGCCTGCCTGTTTTCCTGACTGTGGGGATGGCCTGTGCTCATGCTTGGAGAACGTCCTCCTTAAAGGCCTGATGGCTCTCTTGAGCTCCTTTTGCTCTTCGGAACTGTCTCCCATGAGATCCTGCCTACCATCTTCCTGAAAAAGCGGAATTTTGCTCCCTGAAAGGGCAGGGCCTGTACTCTGATGTTTACCTTCGTCACTCCTCTCAGGATGTGGAGCTGTTTCTTGGTCACTACAGCCAAGGCAGCCGTTTGTGACCACGTCCCCATCCTGTCCTTCTCTGTTAGTGCGCAGCAGATACAGCTGCACATCAGCCCTTGCTGGTGCATCCGGTAGCCTGTGTGAAGAAGTTGTCCCTGACGCTGCCCAGAAATCTTCCTGACTGCTTGAATTGCTGTGTTGCCTTCCCAGCAGATGTCAGGGAGGTTAAAGACAGACACACATGGAGTACTGTCTTCCACCAGAGACAATGACGGACAACCTGACTCCATTTCACAGAGTAGCAATCTCTCCAAACCCAGACAGAAGCTGGCAAAGCTTCCTCTTGGTCACATCAACTGTTGCTCCTCACTTAAGTGCTTCATGTGCGCACACTGGGGGACTGGAGGCCCCCTTGCAGGGATCTCCCAACAGGCAGCATTAACTAGAAGACCAGAAGCCAGCACTTCAGCAGGGACTGCCACTTGACCAGTATTCTCATCTCAGTCTGACTGGGATTTTTTTTTTTTTTTTTTTTAAACCCCACTGATCTCTAGAACAGACCTCCTTCAAGCCCGTACACTCTGCTGGGTTTATTTCCAAGGGTGGTAAAAACGTAAGACTACGTTTATGTAGTTATGTTCTGCCCTAGCAGAACATAAAACAGCTGCTCTTGACTGCGGCCTGAAAGCTGGTTAACTCTGCTGCTGAAACTCCTGCACAGAGGACAGGTATTCAGCATTCATGGTACAATCCTCCCCAACACCACCATTAAGAAGCGTTACACAAGAGTCGCTCTGAGCCTTCAACTCTAAGGGATCCTGGCCAGTTTGCCCACTGGGTCATTAGCACTGACTGCTCCATAGAACAAGCACTTACCTTCCTGATTTACACCATTGTTAACTATCCGCTTGTCTTTCAGGGCACCGTCTTCCTTGTTCAATTCTTTGCCTGAAAAGAGATCAGAGAAGAGCTACAGTCCCTCAGGAGCACACTCCATTGCTTCCTCCCCACACCAGCATAAGTCATTGCTCTGTGCTGTCCAGAGCTCAGCAGCACGCCTTCTCCTCTGCAATTGTTATGTACTGCTGTGCTACCAGCAGAAACCCCATTTAGAATTGCTTTGTACATGCATTTCAGAGAACATCATAGCCTTGCCTGCTGTTTATCATCTGTACAGCAGTGATGGCATGCTACCTAGGTGCTGCAGGGCGTACTGCACAAAGGTGCACTGACTCCCCTTCCTGACGTTCTCACTATACTGCAACAAAATAAAGTATTTTATTTGGTTCCTCTAGTGTCGAAACAGACAATCTTTAATCTATGGACCCGATTCTCTTTTGCCTGAACTGTACGCTTCCCTCCTTTCTTCCATAAGACAGGCATAAAATAAACCTCCTTCTCCTATATCCATATCTATGTATGTGGAAACAGTTACACAAGTGACAAAACAATCCCACAGTGCATCACACCTTTGCCACCAGCTACACAACCCCTATTTCTTCAGATGAGGAAAGCTGTTCTACGCCCATTACAATTCATGCAGGAAGAATAAGCGGCAAAACCCAGGGGCTTCTGGGTTTTCTTTTCCTTATTGTCATCATTAGTGATTTTTCCCTTAATCAGGAAAAACTTCTGCCTTCTCCAACCCCCTTATTATCAGCTACTTGTGGAAAATGGTGGAAGAGTTAGTGAGTAAATGAATCATCAGTGCAACAGCCTGGGAAAAAAAACATTTTTTTTCTGACTTGAACTACAATGTTCATATTTCACTATCCCTCTGGAGTAAAAAGAGCTTCTAAAAAAAAAAATTCCCAGAATTTCCTTGAAATTTACCCTGGCTGTACTAAGAAAACAAAACTGGGGCTTTGCTTAGCTGCCTGATGAATGCCATCGAAAGACTTCCCTAGAGCATAAAGCAAGTGGAAGATACTGCACCCAGAAATGGTGCTTATCTAAGGAAAGAAGCCCACTGTATCTCCCAGACTAGCATTTTGCAAGCTTGTAAGCATCCCATCTCTAAATCGGTGTGTGGAGGCTCAGATCTATCCGCCATCAATACAAACAAAGCTTTGAAGTCGCAGCATTTTATTATCTTAGGTCCTGCTTGAGGGTTTCTTTCCAGCAGAAAGCAAAGATCACCTACCCATGATGACAAACTACAAAAATATCCTTGCACTCTTTTGCATGCAAATAAAAGGTAACATAAGCAAATTACCCTTTTGTCTAATTTACCATAAAAAGGGGTTCCCTCATACATGCTTAGTCCTTCTTTCCACAGATGAAGTGATTTGCAAACGCAGCACGCAGCATCATTCTCATCATACCAAGAGGGAAGCTGAAGCCCCAAGAAGGTATTTGCTCAGTGCTGTTTAACAAACACAAGGATCCAGGCCTTTTTGACTTTTCATCCAGTGACCTACCCATCAACATTTACTGTTCCTAAGGCAACAGGTCTTTCTAGGCCAACAGGGGAATGGTAATCTCTACACTAAGAACATGCTAATATGTTTTGGACTATGAAAGGCCATGTGCAAAAATTAATTCCCCCCTTCATGTTCCCCTGTTTTAGGGCACCATCTCACTTGTTACCTGCTTCAGGCTTTTCATTCTCATAATCAACGGCTTGTGAAGAGGTAGCTGCAAGTAAACAGAAATCCTTTTTAGAAATGTGTATGCGTAGCACAATAGTCCGCAAAATATGCAACTCAGCCTTAAAGTGACAGTTTCATTATAACACTTTCAGCAGATACTCCTGAGAACTAGTATGTTATGCCACGTCATTGAAGGACTCACAATTAATTTCAACTTCAACTTCCCTCCAGCAATCCCAGACCATAACCAACATTATCTATACGTATGCCTACAGCTTTACAAAATCTTTCTGAAGTGGGTTTACTTAAGGTGATAAAGCTGTACAGATTTGTCATAAAAAGCCAGAGACAGCTGAGAAGAGAATCCACATCTCCTTTTTTTACTTCATGTATGTGTTGCACTAACACTGTGACTTTAAACCCTTTCTCTTTGCAGACCTTAAAGAATCTCTAACAGAAACATGGGCCATTCTGAAGTAAATTTAAGTGCAGTATCAAAAGGAGGTTTTTTTGGCTGTTTTTTTTCCTTCCCATCCTTCTCCTTTTTTCACCTTCAAATCCATCCGTAGTCTCTAGACTTCAGTGATCTCTGAACCATGGGCTAGAACCACAGAAGAAAAACGAAGTTCTTTATCCAAAATCCTGCTAAAAAGCTCATAAGACTTTGATATGCTGGGGCAGGGTGGGTAGAAAGGGAGGAAAAAATCCCAAACAAACCCAACAACAAAAAACCCCAAACCCCTGCTTTCATGGTGCTGCCTCTCTACCTGTGGCATCTTTTCCAGGCCCATCATCAAGGACCTCATTGCGTTTTTTTAACCTCCAAGCCCATAAAAACATTAAGAAACTTCAGAAATTAAAGACCAACTTAAGAAATTAAATTAAACACACAAAAAATCTCTGCAAAGGTGACACAGTAGTTTGCAATCCAAGAAACATCCTGCTCCAGCCTTGTGCTAACTCCAGCAGCTCGTGTAAGATACCAGACCGAGTATCCCACATGAAGCCACTGTTAGTTCACACCAGAACACTCCAACAGGACACTGAGCTCGTATCTGATGGCAGGAGCTTTGGCCATTCCCCATTGAAACAGTATTTGGCCCGGTGACCTCCAAAACAAAGTATTTTTTAAGAGTCTTCCCCTGCTCTCCCCAATCTGCTTGACTGACTGATTTAGTTTGGTTCATAAGAACAGACCACAGTGGTCCTGGCAACAAGACATATACGTGTTAAAGCTGGAACACGTTAGCCTCATTCACCCCTGTGAAAGGAGCACAGACTAAAGGAGCTGTCCCCTTCCCTAGCTGCTCACTGTATAGCGTGATTCCCACACCCCAACACACAGGCCCACAAGCCAGAGAACTGAGCAATCTTACTGAAAATTACAGGGGGGAAAGGGGGGAAA